GGATTTATTATGTATTATTAGGGGGGATGTTTTTATTAATATGAGGAAGAGATTATTCCAATTGAGGGCCTTAATAGGGACTATTCCAAATTTAGGGCTGATTATAGACTGTTTCAATTTAGGGCCTTGGAATCTGTTTCTGGAATTCTTCTACATACATTCCTTTATACAAAACATTCAACAACAATCAAAATCTAGGAAATCAAGGAGATCCCGAATCCTTAAGTCGTGCTACAAAACACACGAAATTCAGAGGATCTGAGCCGCAACTGATTCTAGTTTTGGCCCTTTGAAAAATAGTTTTGGGGGCAAATATCACAATTTGGAATTCTGGCGAACCTTTATTTAATATAAGGGGATCTAATATTAGGGAAGGGATTGCTCCCAAACAAGTTTCAAGTTGAGTTTGATTGGCCATCCGGCCCGCATACTGTACCATCTGCGCCGAATCTGCGCCCTGTTTCGCTACATGTTCAGCCCACTCATGCAGTGAAGGCCGCATGCATACAGGCCTTTTGAAAACCCGACTCTTGGTAACAATCATCTCAAGATAGAGTCCACGCAATCTGCAAGCCCTCTATTTGGCCAAGCGTCATTGAACTCTTCCACTTGTTTCTCCTATATTTGCCTCTTCAGCGACTTTTCGCAAATTTGTCCCACCTCTGCCGAACTTTGAGGAATTGTCCGCCACTGTCGCAGCATTCCCGACCCAGAACCGATACAGAAATGTTGTCCAAAAAGGCAACATTCTTCCACGAGGCAGAAACAGAAACACCTCTCGCCGACCAGCCGTCTTTGACTGAACTTCCGTGGTGTCAGGACCATGGACGATGTTTGCAGCCTGCAGAGTAGCCGTTCGCGCAACAACCTTGGCAAATGCAGCAACATCCCGGCCGCGCAAAGCTGTTTAGCCAGCAATGGTTCAGTGCAGTCCTTGCCACAAATTGCGTGTTTGACCATGCAACATCGCTATTGCGCGTGCACAGCAGTGTCGTGAAAAGTCCAAAAGCAACCGTGTCGTACGGCGGCTTGTTCTTGCAAACGCGCGCGACCCGCATGTGGCCGAGCTTGCTAGCAGCATCGGCTTCTCAAAATGAACATCTAAGTCAAGTCTGCTGCTGTTGTTGCACCGTGGCCCAGGTAGGTATCTCTCGCTGCGAGCAAGGAATTAACTTCAAAAAAGATATTGACAGAGAGGCTCCGCAAGCTTGGTTCCATAGCTGATTTCTTTGGATGATTGGTCGGCAAGCTATGCGCACACTTCGTCACAATACTGTCTTCCATGGCACGTGTGAGGATTGACTGACACACATCCATAGGTATATATGCGTTGATGGGCTGAAATTATGCCTTCCCCTGTTTCAATCTAAGTTGGCCCAAAACTTCGCCCAGCGGTGTCTCTGTTTATGCACTTGCCATGCCTGCTGCCACTGGATTCGGAGCGGGTTTGTGACGTGGTTACCATGAACTGTAGCAGGGGACTGAGTTCGACGAACTCCCTGCGGGGTTAGACGAACTCCGAAGGGTTAAACGAACCTCGATGAGGATACACAAAGAAACTTGCAGCACAAGCGCTGCTGCAAATGCCAAGCAAACCCTTTGACCAAGTGTGTTTGCTGCATGCGCTATCTAGGGGGAAGTTCACACACGCAGGCAGGCACACCTCTGCAAAATTTTATACATCCTCCGCAAGCTTAGCGCCCCCTTCTGTCGGCCCTGAACTTGAAAATCACATGTAAACGCATAAGCTGATGACATGCCTGTCAAGGCCCTGAGTTTTACAGTGCGCCACGGCGATTAGCAAAACCTACCCAGACGCAAACATGTGAGGGGCTTAAACAGAATGAAACGAAACCTGCGCAGCTGGTTAGGCGAAAGAGCATTGCCTTATACACCTTTCTAGCATGCCCCACAGCGAGCATTCCTGAGCAAAGTGACTGGATGCAAAGTGTGGCCATGCACATATCAGGCTTCTTCTACCATATTACACTAGAAATACACACATTCATGCCACTTCTGACCACTACGATTCACGCAAGCATGCATGATCGTTTCACTGGACGCGGTATACCAAACAAGCAGCAGGGACTACATATGCCTACACCTCCCGAAGCGGAGAGTCCTCATCACACGAGCCCCTTAACCCCGTTCCATCGTCTGGCCTCGAACATTGTGAGGAACGTTGATGTGAAGGTGCCATAGTACCTCGCAAGCTGTGCTGACCATCATGCAACGACTGAACGGATCGTTCATTCTCCTGGCCTGAACACTTCTTTTCTCTCCTCAATGTTCACGGACTCATCTCTCCTCAGTTAGGGTGCCGGGGCTTGTGACCATGGTTTACTGTGAACAACAGGACAGGACTGAATCAGGGTCAGGTGCCTCTTGACAGACAGGCGCAGCCTGCAAATTCTATTCTGAGAGAGGCTGGGAGGATTCTCAAGCATGCGACATTCAATCCAATACTGACCCAGTCTCATATACGGCCAAAGCACTTGACTGATGACCTTATCTTGCACAAGATTTTGGACCAGAGGCCAACATGCTCCAACAGTACCACAGCCATGAGCAAACCCCAAGAAAGTTGTTCATCCAACAGCTGAGTTGTTCGTCCAACAGCTGAGGCTGCAACCATGCCAGCCATGCACTGTAGGACGACAATGAAGCTCAAAGACCAACACAAGGTGTTGAAACTTGCCCGGACCTTGGCTCTGGATTTGGGGTTGCTGGGCCGGAAGAAAGGCTTGCAACGTTCTGTTTGACAGCCAGCCCTTTGACGCAACATCCCCGTCACAAGCGCTCAGGCTTTCAGTTTTGGAGCGAACCCTCAATGCCCCCCGTCCATTATATAACAGGGTAATATAGGGATAATGGAAAAGAAGATTGATACTAACCGCAGTACCCCTGGCAACATGGGCATATGTGGGAGCCCTTGTGACAGTCCAGGGGCCCCTTTCGGAAAAACAATAGTTTGGAGTTTAGGATTCAGGGTTTAGGGTTTGGGGGTCTCTTTCCAAACAGAAATCCTCCATGGTTTCGGGGATGAGCTACATTCGACAGTCAAATTTGGCTTGCTTGCCAAATTCTGGATAATATTTGCTGTCGATATTCTCAAAACCTTGTGACGCAGCGGTTCTTCGCGTCGTCACATTGACAGTCTGGAGAGTGATGAGTTGGCGTGAAAGCTCCGCAAGCTGGCAATCTTGCGCAACGCGTTCGGTGGGCTGGGGGAGCTGGATGTGGTGGGATAAAGGAGTGTCTTTAGCTAACTCGAAGCTTGCATAGCAGTGGACGCTCTTGAGAATTTATTTGTTTTTATCTAAGTGCTTATAGGCGATTGTCGGCATACTAGAACAACTTCAACAAGGCCCAGGTCACGCACTTGATCATCATGATCAGAGAGGACATCCCCTGCCGAGTGGTTTGCGTCAGGACCATTGCAGAGTAGTCGAAAGACCGAGATGCAACTGCCAGTTCCCAATTATACATGTGTGAGCATTGTGACATTCGCAATACTGTTGCTCAAGAGATCCCCGGTTGCTTGCAGCGCTCCAGCTTCAAGCCCGGAATGCCTTGATTGGCAATGGGACTTACATCGTAGTCACAATTAAGCTGAATGATGATCATCATCATGATCATCATGATCATGTTGAGGATCATGGTGATCAGCTGAATACCGAACCTGTATTGTAGCGAACCTAGACTTCAGTCTAGACGTCGGTAGTAATAACAACCCACTGGGGCAGGAGAACTCCTGTATTCGTGTCATACACAGTTCAGCGTTCCTGGCCCTCATTATTAGCCCTTTCTTGTCATAAGAACTGTCTACACTACCCAATACATCCGAAGCTTGCCTCGGAGACCACCCTCAAACGGGACCCACCCATGCAGAGGCCTCAACGCCTCAACCTCGGTATGTCTTACATCTTGCGTGCGGCCCCCACGCAGTCACAGTCTGTAGTAGGGAAATATTGAGGGCTCTATGTGAATATGTTATTCTATATACTGTTATCCAACTGTTGCCGAGTGAGCTCACCATAGACCCCTCTGCCTCGGAATGGCGAACCACCCGCATGGCCCGCGCGACCTTCCCGAGCCGCAGCATTCGCATGAAGACCGTGTCCTCAGATGGGGTTTCGAAGGTCTAGTGTTCCTGGGTCCTGACATTCCGGAACTATCATGGAGGACAATGACCGGCATGACCTGTTCATCGTAATCTTGACAGTTGAACCGCAACGCAACCTGGATTATGTAGTGCTCATGCTAGTAAGGTGCCTAACCAGAGCCAAAGATGCATAACGACAGCGCGCAAGCTATCCGAGGCGCAACTGGGATCAGGTCTTGAAACAGGATCTCTGCAACGCTGCTGAGGACAACCACCAGGTCAAGCCAGTTGAACGTCAGTTTGAAGAATCGCAGTCGCAGGAAGGTAAGGCGGAGGGCAATGTCAACCTCATCATCAGGAAATACTAAATTGCTGAGTCAAGAACTTAGTTCATGAAAGCTCCTCAGTCTAGGAATCCCAGGTGCGACCAGATGTCGGCTGTCAACTGAAGTGGTGTCCAAAAAGACAAGTGCAAGATTCGGAAGGACCCTGTGGCGTCAATCAAGGTAGCATGCAAGCCTCATACACCATCACTGCGGTAAATATAGTCCTAGACCGAGAAGATGTGTCTTACGCTTTACATTGGTAGAGTGCTCCGCAGACAGCCGAAGTTAAAAAAACAGCACACAAAGAGCTCTAAGGGTTCTACCTCTGGATTTTCTGGCCAGTATCCTCTGCCGGTTGTGAGATGATGGGGTTCTCGAAATTATGCGTGCTGTTCCTTTTCCTTTTCTTGTGGGCTTTTGCGGGTTCCTGTTTGTGTAAATGTATACGATCGAGTATGTAAGCCCCCCACAGTGACTTGTATTGATACGCTTATGACTTGCATGCCCGGCTCGCAGACAAAGGTATCGTTCACGTATGCTTCCCGGTCAGAAGCGACCAGCACTTCCTCTATGCTTGTGCCCCGAAGCTGCTCACCTTCTTGAAGCGGTTTGTGTGAAGATATGTCAAGATTCGCCTTCAGCGTGGAGCACAGCAACCGTAACAATGCCATGCATAAACACAACAACTCAAGCATCAACAGGCAAAACTCCCTGAGTGCTGATCTCTGGAATAACAAGCTCCCGGAAAGCTATGCCATCTTGGCAGAGGAATGGCTTCCAAGCAGCAACGAAGGCAATAGTGAAGACTAAGTTGATGGTGTAAAAGACGTTTTCGGCATGAGCCCACACCTGGAATGGGGATCCCTATAGATTAATTATAGTATTTGGGGGTCTACATTGGGGTCCCGGGGTAGTCAGGTAGATCATCACATTGTTGGTTCTTTTGATGTGGGCCTGGCGGCAGCTTCTGGTACAGCAGCAGCCATGGTCTTCGTTTCTGTTCGCGTTGCCATAGCAACAAGTGACAGAGGATGCAGATGTTCCTCTGAGGCTTGCAACATCAATGTCAAACTGAATGATTGCTTCATGGAACCATGGAAAGTGGTTACCCCAATATAATCCCTGTATACCCCTTAAAGGGACGTAAGGTTTCCATTTCATTTCCATTTTCTTTTCCATTTGAATCTCCATTATGGGAGTACAAACGGGTTGACAGCTTCCTCCTCCTTCTTCATGGTTGTCTGCGTTCAGGCCCTTGACTGCCCCCCAAGCTACAGCAACGGTTTTTTCCAAAACTTGGCCTTCAAACGGTTCATTCAGCATCAGGGAATCCTCAAGCTCCTAGATCCCCTAATTCCAGAAAACCTATGTGATCTAATTATATCTCGGTCATAGGCTATAACTCCAAGGCTATCCTACATGGGCCCCGATACTAGGGGGCCTTGAATAATCAGAACAAGTCTCATATCGTTGAAGAGGGAGTGTTCCCCGATAGGGCTACATAACCCATTATAGTAGTTTCCATTTTCTTTTCCATTATCCCTATATAACCCCTCTATAACCCCAATAGAAGTCCTGAACCCTAACTGTGTTTCCGTTTGATCTGGATGCTGCATCAACCCCTGACACCAAGCCTTGCCTGATCGGGATGGCCTTCCATCCTTCGATAGTTAAGATCGTGGCCAACCACATAGCCTGCTGGCGGTGTGGGGGTAAAGTCGAGTCAACGCTTGTTATAACCCTAGACCCTATAAACTATATATATATATATGTGTACATATCCCCATTGTAGTAGTTTCCATTTTCTTTTCCCATTACCCCCAAATATTCTATATAGTAGCTTCCATGTGTGGCACGTATGGACACTTCATGGATAAATCCCGAAAAAAGAAGGATCCTTTCTGCGAGCCTGCTTTTCAGCATGGTGTCAATTCAGCCCAAGCTGTGGTCATATCAACACACTGCAGGCAAGCACCCTCAGGCTGTCACAGGGTGCTATAACAAGAAGGTGTGAATAATGTTCTGGAATTCAGAGAGGGTGGAGTTCGCTACAAGCACCTCAATCACGGAGATGCAAGTGGATTAGCCGCGGTGTCAAGCTTGGGCCCCGTGATCACTAAGAAGATCGCTAGGCCGCACGAAACAAGCATCAAAGTTTACTGCGCAAGCCTCATTGAGAAAAAAACAGATCAAACCTGCGCCCAACCCGACCCTAAGGAAAATACCAAAAGATGCCGGCTTTCGAGGGCCTGGCAACAACATGGAATCGCGGAAGGCCATACCATCAGGTCAGCGTCGCACACGAAACGTTGCCGTTTGGAGGATTCAAAGACAAACTCTAGTGTTCAGGCCAACAACATGGCACCCCTTTTCTCGTTGCTCGTTTCAAAAAAACTTCAGGAAAGCCGCCTCCTATACTCATATGTCAAGAAACTATAAACCCTGTCCTTGTGCCATTTGCCAACATGAAGACCAGTTTATGTACGCCTGGTGATTTCCTCCAATATTCCATACAGTCCTTCTCCTAAAGTTCACTCACCCTTGCATTCTATGCAAAGAGATTAGGGGCATGTAACTCGGGGGTGCGACGGTGAGATGAGTGGTCCGCTAGTTGTGCACAGCACTGGGACAGGACATGCCTTGGTATTCAAATTCAATCGCCATGATCACGGAATTGACGATGATCAGCATGCCAATGGTGATCTCCTGACATGACAGGGCTTCCTCGATGCCTCCTTGCAAGGTTCTGATACAAAGAAGGCGTTTGCCACCCCACAGCCTGGCACTACGTCCTGCAACATGACAACCTCACAACAAAGATACTAACTGTTGAATTTCCAGCCCCATACACTGAATGCGACTGAGGAAGCTCTGTATACCTGAGCATTCAACGCGCCTGAAGTCAGGCTTCCGGGACATGATCTGTTCACGGGAACTCCATGCTGTAACTTGGTCCAATTAGAGCCTCCTCTCGCTTGTTGAGCCCCTATGTTGCGCAACCAAGGCTAGAGTTCCCTGTAATCCCCTCCCCCTGATGTAACCCACCCCCCAACCCCGCCTTAATATTAAATACTCCCATACTCATATTATGTGGTATACGATAAGGTATTGGGAGTATTTCATATTGGGGGGGGGGGGGGGGTTAACATTAAGGAAAGGGGATTATTCAAGCCCAGGCACGTAGATATCGCTTTCAAGGCGGCTTGCGCAGTCGTTTCTTTTCTCCTTTGAAGCCTATCATCGCTTCCGGCTGCAGAGCTTCTCACAAGGCTTCTTAGAACTTGGGTGAACATGGTGAACTTACTGGCTCTTAGTAGAGAAGANNCCCTCTTCCCTACTAAGAACCAGTAAAGGACTGTGTATGAGGCAGGGCTTGATGTTTAGTGTTGATGGAAGTCTATAGTCTGGGAAGTGAGGGAAGAACAAAGTTTTCAGAAATGGGAGGGCGTCATCTGGAGAAATGCAGCCAGCGACAGCAAGCGTCTTGTCTATTTCTGTCACAAGTGTTCATACAAGATTCATGACCTCCCAAATTGACTCTCTCTTTTCAGGTAAATGAGCCCCGGAAGGGTCCCGAAATGTCCCCAAGCTTTCAGGTCCCCAGGTGCTAGCACTTAATTTAAGCTATAGTATCCCCCTATAATGGAGAATCACATGCAAAAGAATGTAGAACATGAAATAGAAACTGGGGGAATATACGGATTTAAGGAACTTGACTTGGTGATTACTGCGAATGTCACGCGGTGGGAACCAAACTAGATCCGGGTATCTGTACACGCCAGTGTGGTCGCACGTGCTTCGCCAACTGTACTGGATTGCACTTGTTCTTCCGGCTATATCCAGGAATGGGTGGTGTCTCCTGGTGTCTTTTCGGCAAAATTCCCACTCATGTTTTCAAGTGCCTGGGATCTATCCTGTATGGTCGCCCTCTACAAGCCCGTCTTTGAAAAAGCCATCAATGTTCACATCCAACATTAACAAAGACCCCATACACTCAAAAGAACCATAGTAGATATTCTTCCTCATCTAAAAATCGACCACTATTCCTGAGGAACCCATCTGCAGTCACCAAAAACCAGATCCAAAACTCTGCCTTGCATGAGAAGGACACCCTCTGGTTCGGCTATGCCCTCACCCACCACTTGTGCTACAGGAGTTAGAATCTAACTCCTTAAAGGGGATTCTACAGGCGACTACATCGGGGGCTACTTTCGGGGCTATCAAGGTGGATGCTAGGCGTTTAGACTCTAGCTCGTATGAATATTGAGAGTTCCTAGAAAGAATTACCCGTATCCTTCCAGGTCACTACCCCTCCCGACCCTAAAACCCTAAACCCTATGCCCTAATCCCTAAACCCTCCCATATCTGTAAATCATAAAAACTTTGGGTCCCAAAGTCTATCACGGCAGTCTACTTTGGGCCCCCTAGAGCTTTGCAAATACTACTACTACTACTACTACTACTGCTGCTCTCATTATTACTACTAGTATTATGACTACTACTATTCCTATGACTATTATTACAGTTACTTACCATTACTCTCATAGCAGGTTGGGGCCACCTAACCCTGGTCTACCGACCTCCACGTCTGCATCAATCTTGGCGATCATTTGGTTTGTGGCCGCGCTGCCCATCACAACTGAGGCGCAGCTCTGGCTACTGGAGGGCAAAAGGGCTCTGCGACTTCAAAGGATTTCCAGATTTCTCAAAATGGGGTTACTGTAAGGTCCTGAAGATTTTTGAGCAGTATGGCGGGAATAATGGAGTGTGTATTGGGTCAATTACGTGAGAACTTGTGAAGACTCCCACCTCTTGTCCATAAAGCAGCAAACGTGGTACTGCAGGGGCCTGAGTACTTCCAAATATAGTTTTGATGTCTATTCAGGTGCCCTGTACCATTACTGTACAAGAAATCTGGGACCACGACATCGGTAGTTATGCCTGTGCACAGCCATACAAATATGAATAAATGTATAAGCCCAGTTTCCATGTCGTTTTCAGTTTCATTTGGCTGTCCAATATCCCTGAACCCTAAAACCTAGATACCTGCCAAACTACACTATATAATCCTCATAGAACCCTGTGTAAGCCCAGTTCTCATTTCATTTTCCATGTTCCTTGTCCGTTGATTTTCATTGTCTTCCATTTTCTTGTTAAACATCTCTGTCCTGTGGAGTCTCGGAGTGTGAGGCTTGAGGCTTGATTGGGAGGGGTGACTTCGTGGGAATCTGGGTTGTGGCTCACGGAACCTACTTATGAAGAGTTGCCCCAAGGTTGTAATGGGCTTATTGAGGGGATTAGTACATTACCATACACTACCTAACTCCGGAGTCACTCCAAGTAGGAGAGGTGTGGTTCCAGGGTCAGGCGTGTAAGTGTTGCCCTTATTAAGCACAAACGATTGCTCTTGACTCACAGGCGTCAGATGCTGAAGAAGCCCAACGAGTTTCGGTCTACAAGTTGAAGCCTCCGGCATAAGATCTTGGGAACCGCGCCCAACAATCCCAACTCACCCATTGGAGATCATGCGCCTGATTCGGCCTCACTTTCGCGGCTCACGCGGTGGCCAACAGGCTCCTGCAGACTGCTATCAGCAATACCAGCAATGGGAGATTGACATGCCCATGTCGATCTCTGCCACAAGCAAGCCTAAATTCAAAATGAGCACCAACGTGGTGATAGCAATAAGAAGAAATAATGAGACTAAAATGGACTGTCAACAATGCTTCACGTCGTCATCATGATAGGAGACATTGTCGAGATGTCGAAACCCAGGTCTCATCATTGAAACCTGAAGATACCCAGACAATGACTGTGACAGAACGCGCCAACACCAAACCCAACATGGTGGCAGCCCATAACTGCAGATACACGAGACCCGTGCCCAGGGAATCTTCAAATGTTGTCACCACCCAACCTGAACTAACCATGAGCCCCAAGTCTGTATCCATCAAAGCAATGCTTATTTGCGGGATGCCCTCTGGACCTTGGAAGACTGTATGAGGTCTGGGCCTAGAGGTGCGGAGATTGAGCACTGCCTTGAAGGCCAAAACATGTGGAAATCCCGGCAGCTGGAAAAGCCCTTCCCGTCGCGTTTATGCTCAGCGCCCATCTGGCTTTGAAATCTACCTGTTGCATCAAACAAGGCCGTCGTTCTTGCAGCTCTCGTGTTCCCAAGCAGGAAGCCTAACAGAACAAACCCTGCAGGCATCTGTCCTCAACAGTCGGCGGAAGCCCTACGGAAGGCACCCGCTTCGAATTCTGCGAGCCTCACAGAGGCTAAGTCGTCATGAGCTTGTCTTAGGGAGGAAGATGGTGTTGTTGGATTCCAGGGTCGGGCCTTCCCAAAATTTGTGCAATTTTGGACTTCTCGTGATAGGCTGGAAACCATGTCCGCAAAGGCTTGCAGCTCAATCTTAGCAACCTACAGTCGCAGTAAATTTCACATGCTCGAATTATTCATGTGGGCGTTTCTGGCATGCACAAGACTAGCATCCTGACAAGAGGCACACCCCAAAAGGTATCCACATTTCAGGCAGTTTCAGAGCACTGGCACGACTCTGCGAGGAACGCTTTGGGTTCTTAAGCCGACATGGATCCGCAATGAGGACAGTAATGGCCAGAATAGAAGATATGCCCCTCATGAGGCCTGACTTGCAGTCCTTGACACATCAGTGTCAAAGCGGGATGTCACGAGGAGGCCCATGAATCAGGGGAATGGTGCAATCTCGGGCCCATCCTTGGATATCACACGTCTTTGGACGAGTTTCAAGTCCTCCAAATCCTCCGAAGTTCTTCAAGCAGTGACCGAGACCCGCCAAAAATCACATCCAAAACCTCAATGCCCGCACCATACACCTCCATATATGTTCAACTCTGAGCCACATAGATCAGAGGCTACAATGATCCGCTCGTTATGCAAGTACAAGCTTGCTGGGGAATTCCTGGCTGCGAAGCTACCACCTGATCCTGATTTCGCTGACTGCACAACCTGTACCCAGAATCATGAGGCCCAAGCCCACACGGAACCGAGCTCAAGATCCATTCCGAACCTTCGATGCCGGAGCCCAAAGTAAAGGGTCTAAACCCTGCGTGCAGGCACACGAACACTGAATCCTAAGACCTAAACCCTTGCCTCAACCACGACCACAAAGATGTCTCTTAAACAGAAAGCTTGCAAAGGTGCCCGGCCTTCAGCTGCGCTGAGTGGTCCGCCGTGGACCTACCCAAAATTGCAAGAAACTACTACTATGCAGAGATTGTATAGGGGTTATTTGGAAAATCTGGAAAAGGGCCCAGGATTGTCCGAACTCTCCAACTGATGGCGTGACCGCGCAAGCATAAATGATGCTTCTCCGCACGGTAGGAGGAGTAGTAATCGTCGTCGTAGTAGTAGTGGTAGTAGTAGCACTAGTAGCCGGCGTAGTGGTAGTAGTAGAAGGAGGCCTGTGCCCCTTAAGGCACCCACCTTTTTCATGCATTCAGGATGATAAGCTGGGGGGGTTCAGTATTGGGGAGGGATGGGGTGGGGGCGGACAATTTCGCTGGTAGGACACTGACCGGTATGACTGCAGACAGTGCAACCACAACAGCACCACCACAACGACTACAACTGCAATGGCCGCCGCAACGGCAATGGCAACAGCAACAGTGGCAGTAGGAGAAATGGCAACAGGAACAGCATGAACAGCAGCAGCAGCCACAACAACAGCAATCACAACAGCAGCAAGAGCAAGACATAGCAAGACCAGGAGCAAGAGCGGCGACAGCAGCGACAGCAGGAACAGCGACAGCAGGAATGTGCGCGGCAGCAGCAGCCTGCACAACCGCACGAGCTAAAGAGCCGCGGCGGCGGCAGCAAGAGCAAGAGCCAGAGCAAGCCGGCCGCAGGAAGAAGAGGAAAAACACCTTGACAACAATAGGAAAATCTCTTCATGTCAATGTATCACACCAAAATTGCTACAAAAATGGCTGAACATCGTAATCCTTCCTAAGCGGGCCTTTTGGCAAGATGGCGGAGTTTATGACTGAAGACAAGCGCCCGCAGTGGTCCAATTGTCTGTTCGCAAGGATTTTTTGCACCGTTTTCATGTAAGATTTTCGCGTGTCTTTATCAGCCAGTTGTCTCGTAAGGACGTTGGAGGCGTAACAAAACTGTAGTCGCTGTCAGGCTCCAGCAAGTAACTTCAATGCTGAGTGATATAGAGCAAACGCGCTGTTGTTATGATGGCTATGCTTGCACCCATGAGCACCATAACTGATACAGCTACTTTGATGCCAGCGGTGGTAAGATGGTTGCTCATGATCATTGTTGCCATCATGACAAGAAAGGTGATGAGGATGAGACTGGTGCCTGAGGGCGATTGGCATGATGGCGGTCAATATGATTTCAGAATTTCCCAGGTCCTATACCCTCGCGGCCTGCGGTCCCGGCCGGAAGTTAGGCTCCAGAACCGCGGACATCTCCTTGGCGGTGCAGGCAGCCAGTGCATTTTTGGGTATCAAAACGCTGCAGGGCCCCCAATCATGAGAATGACCCAGAGAGAGGGAGAGAGAGAGAGGGAGACGGAGACAGAGAGAGGGGTCAGAATAGTCCAGAAAGAAAGAAACAAGTCAAACACCACCGCGAAAAGAGCGTGTTCAGAGGGAGTCCTATGTGCTGGAATATTGCAGGCACTTGTTATGTAAGGGATTGTCAGGGTATCCACACAAACCATCCCATCTCCGCTGTGACAGGTCCACGTACCGCAGGATGTCGATGGTTTCAGCCAAGAGTTTCGCGCAGCAGGTGGAAGCCACGAGCTGGCCTGTGACCTGTGTTCCGTGTCGTCCACAATTGGGCCAGGTCGCAGCTCATCATGAGGACCTGCCCCAAGTAAGTTATCACCGACAGCTCCATGCGGCCTGTGCTCCAGCCAAGCAGAAGGTAACCTGCGCTTACGCTCGCCGGCGCTCACAGGCCTCGCTGTCTGGGGTTCAAGATAAGCGAGTCTGCATTGTCATCGCTTTTATCCAGCAGAGTATCCAGAAGAGTGATTTGGAAAAGGAAGACAAAGACGGACCTGGCTGACTTGCTCCGGACGGTTCTGGAACTAGGAACTTATGAGCTGACAGAGGAGGCTCAGGTCCTCAAGGCGTAGAAGCAAGTCCCGAAAGCACTAGCCGTGCGTCGAGCCATTCTGGGTGAACTTTCAAACGCCTGCGGTTGGAGTAGTTGTTTAGGTTTCGGATTCTCTGTCTGCGCTCTGGGTTGGATTTCAAAAATCTTGCTCCTGGGTTTGCTGCACTGCGCCTGGTGTGTCCGTCCATGCAGCTTCCAACAGAGGCAGCGAGTGCTTACAAATCTTTATCATCTTTCGTGAATGCTTGCCAACTCATCAAGGTTGCTTTGCCCCATGTCAAGCCCACATCTCGCCTACCGACATCCCGAGATTCGGTGACGTCCGTCCCTGGCTACACCGCCTTGCACTGGCTGCCAGAGAAGGGACCATTGTGATCAAGGATGTTGCCATCCTCGCTGAGCCTGTCCCTCCGCTCGTGGGAGAAGGCTTCCATGAGTGAGGCGATGGTCCCACAGGTGATTTCATTGGGAAGAGCACGAATCCTGGGCCCCTCCTCAGCTTCCAGACCTCAAGACTTGAGGCATGGTGCTTGCAAACTCTCAAAGCTGAAGGTCCGCCAGGAGCTACTCCCGGTTCTCTAAGAGCACCGAGAGTGCGATTCTGGACTATGTCACATCCATCTACAACACTCGTAGCAAGCGTGCAAAGACCAAAGACTTTGCAAAGTTTCAACCAGGACCTTCCTTGTGCCCTTAATTGGGGATATACGGTCCCTAATAGTGGGTACTTAAGCCCTAATAGAGGGTAAGAGGAGGGTCTAGGAAGTGAGCCCTTGTGATGGCACCCAAGCCAGAAGTCGAGGGGCGGAGCGGCCTCACTTCCCTTATTTAGCAGTTTCCATTTTCTTTTCCAGTATCCCTATATAACCCCAACATACTATAAGTAGTTTCCATTTTCTTTTCCATTATTCAGCCGGGCCCAGGCGGGGATGTGAACCTGCCAACAAGGGTCGTACAGTGGTATATAGGGCCCAACAATGGAGAATCAAATGGAAAATTAAATGGAAACCGCAAAGGCAGAAGCGGGATTAATCTTTCTGGGACATCGAGTGGTTCCAATGCCACTTTCTGTTGCGTTGCAGAAGTGGTGCACTGAAACCACGGTTCGAAAGGCATGCAGGCTTGCCTGTCGACAGAAAGCAGTGGCGTAAACGGGAGCAGTAATGCCACTAGCCGCAACGCGAACACAATCGTCTTTTTTTTCGGCGCGAGTATTACGCAGCTGGCGCTAGTAGCGCGCGAAAGGCTGCTGCGCATGCTTCATGGAACGACTGTTAAGAGAAAAGCAGCATGAATGGTAACATACACTCAAGCCAAGATTCAAAAGTTTGGTTCGGGATCGGCGCCGCCTCACTTGCATCTCCAGCTGGTGGCTCCTCGCCTCTTTTCACTACAAGTCTCGCTCCACATGGGGTCTATTACTAGTAGTAGCTTGATTACTCGTCTTGTCAGTATTCTGCGTCTTGCTAATACTGTGCCTATCACTGTCAGCATTGGCGGTGCCACTATTACCGGGACTCTGTTCAATACGTTGAAGTTACTAGAACCCCTAATTCGACGGACCCACAACCAAGGTCCGTAATTTCAAGATACCCCACCTTACCATCATAATGCGGCAACGCACCTTCTTCCAGATTGAAGCTGTTGTCGTCTGTGCCTCCGCCCATAACTTGGGCCATTTGCGCTTTCAGTAACCTGCAGGGAAGTCTGAAAACCCTGAACGTCAGCAGGGGGGACGTGGAATGTGCCTTCTCAAGGGCCTCTAAACTAAACCAGCTCAGAATATGGAGAACTCAGCGAAATGCTTGTAATATCATCATATCTTACCACTTCTGTGCACTTTCTTGCTTGCCTCACCTGTTCTCATCATTGAGAAGGATCATCTCTTGTATATACCTCGGCTGCGCGCTCCATGTGTATTTGCAGTGTCCGGCCAGGAATCTAGGCAGCTTCGGTGAGATTCTGATTTGCCAACGTTTTGCTTGCGGCAGCTACTGCCGCTGCGGTCGCTGCTGTCCATCTGCGAATGATTGGAAATGTTGCTGCTGCAGCGCGCTCCTGAGACTAGGGGAGCCATGCCTACTAGCTACCATGCCGACCCATGTGCAGTCACCACAGCTTCTTTACGTTGATGAAGTCGTACAAGACCCTCAGGGAAAGAGGGGTTTTGGACTGCTACTGATTGGGGTGGCAAGGCCTAAGCTGCTTGCGCTGCCCTAGGTTATCAGGAAACACCGGTGTTGTCCCTAAAGCATGCAGCCTCAGGAACCAAAGGACGGACGCCCTGCAAAAACGCAATATTCCAAGCCAAAAGGTAGTGATTCCTTCATATCAATGGGCTTCACACTACTTATAGGAATCCAGTGAGGCTATACTGATGGAAGCCATGACATCCTGATGCCAGCCTCCCCAAACCAACAACACCCGGCCACACCCGGCCCGAGACAGATTACTATTATTACTACTATATTACTCTCATATTACTTTTACACTACTCTTATATTGCTCTTGTATTACTATTGTCTTTCTATTACATTAGGACTAGGTCTAGACTCTCTTGGTTCGACCTCTCCATCTTTCCGGCAGACCGCGGCTCCCGGGGGCTGCATTTCAGCGTCCATGTTGAAAAACAATTCTGAAGGCAACTTAGCTTGTTGTAATACTGGGTTTAGGGTTTAAGGTTGTGATACTGAAGAGTCTGATACTGTAGTATCCTTAGACCTATAATACAAATATCATCTTTAATATTTCCTTAGGGTTATACTATACTCATAAAATCCTAGGGACATTACGGAATATTCGAATCAAATACCATGCGCGAAATACAAGTCCTTCATCATTAACCAGCTGTTAGTGGTGTTGATGCACCTCGAAATTCTGATCAGCAACACGCATTCCATAAAACTCTAGCAAGCCTAGGAACCACTCAGCCTTAGGGCATGAATGTCTAAGCACCAGTAAGAGTCACACCAATCGCTTCCCCATAATCTGAAAACGCACCCCGACCTGGACAATTGCTAGCGCAAAGCAGGCTGGCAACCAACTAATGCACCCTACAAGCTGTGCTATTTTACGGGATAAGAGCAAATCATACAGATTGAGATCCGTCCTCCTTCCTGCCAGGGATGCTAGTACAGGGATTCTACTGCAATCATCCCAATAGAATGACTCTGGTACAAGGTCTGTTAATCCTAAAAACGTCCCTGAAACCTATCTTTTCCAACCTCTACCAAATGAAGGCTGAGAGGCTGTTCTTCGAGTCTGCCTATTAGCTCCCGAAAATCAGTGAAATCCTCCTCACCAGTAAAGTTGCGCGAGAATAGGCCTGAAATAGGAGCTTGGATAGTGGGCTTCAGAGTTTGTAGCCCTGAGGGTCCAAGGACACAAATAATAGGGCTTCAGGGCCCAAATACCATTAATATTATTATAGTATTTGGGACCTAAAACCCAGTTATTTGGGTCCTTGGACCCTTAGGGTAGGGGCTTGTGGTTCAGGCTAGCTTGAATCTATGTCTTCCGGTGCCCTTCCTTAGCAGAACTCTGAACCCCATGGTTGCAAAGGGATATTCAGGAGGAGGCCATGCTCAGAATTTGTCAATCGAAATTAAACTTTAGGAGGTGACTGGAGGCGTCCCAAAATTTGGGGGTCTTTTTTCCGAGGTCCCCATCTAAGCAAGGATGATAGGCAACGCACAAAGAGGCCACCATGTTTCGGAAGAGCCTCTCAGGCCTTCCTTTCTGGCCCATAAGATTCGGAATTCTCGGCATCGAGGGAAGAAGAGGGATTCGGCTATGGATCTCAGGTAAAAGTCAGCTGAATTGAGCTGGCTCGGGGTGGTTGGATGTATGCTTTGAGGAAAACAGTGCAGAGAGGCTCAAGCAAGCTGAAGTACATACTGAGCCTTCTCCACAAATATGACTAGAGTCTTGTCTTCTGAGTAATATCTCACTTGCTCGACTTACTACAAACCCATGTGTATGAAACACGCGTGGTGCAAACAAGCTGGCGAACCTTGCTTTCTAATCGTCCAAAAAGGCAAAGGTATTCCATATTGGTATCTTCCTTCATGGCTCCTCAGTGGGCAGAACCCTGAGGAAACCACTCAAAATCGCAAGAGCCGACCTAAACCAACGCCCCTCTGGGAGCAGAAGGAAAAGCTGCCTGTCGAAGCTGAAGCACCCTTGTCATCTTGAGAGGCAGGTGAATCGAATAGGCCTCGCCCAGCCAGGGTTGTTGAATGCTGCTTCTACACATCAACCACGTCTCCACATCTTCTCCCTAGAATCCTAATTCTGATGATCCCCATGCTTTAGGCTGTATAGCGAGTAAAATTGGCCTCTGGGACAGGTTGGACCACCAGCTTGAGCTGATGAATCCTCACCTGAGGAAGAAGTGCAGGGAACTTGGGATTTCAAGGTTCTGTTTCCAGCTGGGGTTTCTAAGGCAGTGTTGCTTGGAGGTATCTAATGAGCCATAGTCTAAACTCCTGGTATCCCCCTTAATAACCCCCATAGTAGTGCCCTATATAATCCCCTATATAACCCCCTTTAAGGAGTTTAGACTATAGCTCTAATGGTGGTGCTTAACTGGAGCCTTGCTCCCTCCAAAGGTCTCCCAGCCACAAGATTAAACAGCTCTGCATGGGAAACTTCAGAATGCAATGGCCAACTTCATCTTCCTAGGTGTTACCACCATGGGCTATTGGACCTTAAAGGTACTTTAATCTACCCTTAATGGGGTCCTAATAGGGAATTTTAGGGTCTAATAGCCCATAATGGTATTACTTGCTGGAATCCCTAGTCCCCTTGGCAAATTACCAGTCTGGGCTGACAAGCTCTGCTGGCCTGGATGGTCGCTGTTATGTTATGTCGCATGCCTCGTAAGTAGCCTACGGGCTGGAGAAATGAGCCCTGGACTAAATTTGTACTATATCCCTTAATAGGTCCCCCCCAAAACCCCATGTAGTCCCCTATAGGTCCCCCCCAACCTAAATTTAGTCCGTAGCCCAAGTCACTTAGCAAAAGTTCAACTCACCTAGCTGCCGCTGAATGCTACTTAATCACGTTGTCAACTCACAGCGCAACCCCCCATCAGCTAATGGCCCCAAACTTCAGCAGCCCAGATGCACATGAACCTTACCCATTACCCCTTTTCCACTGATAAACTTAGAGGCCTCCGGTCAAAGGCCACTACCACACAAGAATAGATCTCTCCATCAGCGCTTGCATGCGAAAGCTCGGGCCTACTACAAAGACAAAACCTTGTTTTCCGTATCTATGTGGAAACCATCGCTTCTTAACTTGAAATGGGCCTTTGGCCACAGGGCAGATAAACCCTGAAACCTGAAGCCTCACAATCCTCAACATGAACTCCACAAGCCCCAGCAGCCCAGTTCCAGGATCATTGGGCTTGATATTGGGCTGCCGATAGAATTGCGTATGCCCATGGAAGGCGCCATGGCGCAAAAAGCTGGGGGCTGAAATGGATTTGGAGGTTCTAAGGGCCCCTAGCCTGCCCTGAAAATTCCAAAGCAAGCTTCATACCTAGATGGCACGGAGTGTAGATTGATATGAGTACTTCAGTCTCGTCAGTAGCCTTCCCTTTTAAGACTGTGCTTTTTGCGCCCCTGTTTTAGTGTCAGCTTCCTAAGCCATCGGGGTGGAGGCGGAATATGAATTCAGATCCTTATGATCCGCGAGGACTTTACAACGCCTAAGTCGTTTTGCCCTAAAGACTTGCAAGCTCAAAACCTTCAAGTCCCAAAGAATGTATACTTGACGCAGCACTTTGTGTCATGTGTCCTAGTCAGATTTCCTTGTCCAACAGGCCGCGCGCCGCGGCTGCAAGAGTCTAAGCTTGAGCCAGGCAGTGTTGGTGCCCAACTACAAATAGCGGTGGCCCATCCTTTCAGGGCCCTTGCAGTAAAGACAGTGTTATTTCGTGGATGTCATTATGTCTCGGTTTGGAGCAAGAATGCAGGCTACATCTGATAGCTCACTTGATTGCTAGGATGATGGATTTCTCCTGATAATGCGGTCGCTGCCAGGAATCATGTTCCACTCTTTAGACGAAACGGACAAATGTTTCGATCTCAAGGTCCTAGGATCCTAGCAACTAGAGGTGTACCTGCAAAAGCATTTCTGCTGCAGGAGCCTAGCCGTGTCCTTCGCCGTTTGAATAGCTAGCTCTAGAAGTCCAGATTGGAATCTCATTGCAGCATGAGACCTTTTGGGGATACGATGCCCGGCTGCATGCAAATAAGCTTGTCAATTCGTCGGTTGTCAGCTGAACGGCCTGCAGCTTAGCATCCCCAACTGCACGAACCCCCCTGGCAAGCAATGTTCAACCCCTACCACTCGACCCCAAATGCCAGTCTGAACTTGGCTGTTCTGGAATGCCCCAACACAAGTTAGAACTTTCAGCTCCCGTTATATGGATCCCCAGAGTCATAATGTGATAAAGTCGTGGAAAGATCCCACAAAATGAGCCATTGTCTGACCTCCTAGCATTCCCGTAGTTACCCCTATGATACTCCCCTACAGAATCCCCTTCAAGAAGGAGCTTAAACGCTAAACGCTAAACTTCATGTAATCCCCTCCACAGTCCCCCCTTAAGGAGTTTAGACTACAGCTCAAATAAACAAGGCAGCGGGCCATCATCAAGCTTGAAGCTGATGATGTGTTTCCGTATATCCTCGACAAGATGGGTTTAGGGTTTATGGGGTTTATAGGGAACAGGGCTTAATGACTATAGAGTTTATGGGGTTTAAGGTGTGTAGGGTTTATAGGGTTTATAAGGTTCCAGGCTTAAAAAATGTTGGGTTTATAGGGTTTAGGGGTTGTAGGGTTTATAGGGTTTAGCGTTATTCCCCTTTAATTCCGTTCCCTGCAACAGAAAAATGGTCTACCCGTTCCATGGTGACACCGAAGTACCATATTGGGAGTGCTCATTATTTGGGGGATGGGATGATCATCATATTTAGCAGATTCTAGCTACGGGGAATGTACAGGGGGACCCCTACTCAGAGAACTGCTCACCAAGGCTTCAGTCTGTGGAGTTGAAGCTTTAGGGTGTCAGTGGCTCCTCCCCTTCCCTCATTTGAGGGTCTTTACCAGAATCATCCTGCTTACCCCGGTCTAGAAGAAGTCTCTGGAAATCTCCAGGAGAAAGTGCTATACCGGTGTCTTTCCTGGACAGGTTGGAGTCCCATCTGTTAGGGACCTGCACGTGAATTGTTATGTGGGGCCGGCCGAAGATCTCGCGCGGGAAAGCTCGATTTTTGAGAGGGTCCCTATCAACACAAAAGGCCCCATTCAGCCAGAGCAAATAATGGAGATGAATGTGCTCATTTCATCGAATGCTAGCAGTGGCAAGCGTCTTGCACTGCTTAATTACGATTTCAGAAATAGCTTTCCTACGAATTGTGTGCGCCAACTATAGCACATATACCTCCGAGTCTAGAGCAACAACTCCGAACCCCAACATTTTCGCGAACCACTCCTCCTCTGCTTCGCTGTCTGCCTCAGCGGGTTGGAAATGGCCCCGGTGTCATGGGAACAAGGGGACCATCATAAGTCCATATAAGCTATAGTCTAAACTCCCTAAAAGGGATTATGTAGGGGACTACTATAAGGGTTATTAAGGGGGATATTCGGAGTTAGACATTGGTACATATTATCATAAGTCCCTATAGTGCATGGACGGTCCCGTTTGTATACCTTTCTTGTCCTTCATGTGAGGCGCCAGATTGTTGGCAAATGTTGGCATCTCGAAGCCCAGGGAGCTCATGTTTGGAAATTTTGGAATTCTTGTTGTCCTGCATGTTGGCAACAGATTTTGTTTGGGGGGATTGTCCTTTGCAGTCGTGATGATGTTGAAACATGAAATCGTGGCAAATGCTAGGAACTTCTACAGCAGGTTCCAGAATGATGGCTGGCATTTGTTGAAAGAGCGCCTCGTAACAGCCGGGTATGTTTAGGACCACCTTGGCTAGCCCAACGTCCTCAATACCCCATGCCAACTCCCGTGCCACCAAAATCTTTATTTACAGGCAGTGCTTGAGCCAGGCTGTCGGTTGCGGTGGAATTTGCGGTGGATTTTCTGACTGTTGAATTTTCTCTTTGCCGCGACATTCATAAAAGCGGCACGCTTGAGCGGTTGCATGTGCCGGCTTGTCTCCACGTTGGACAACCACCTTGAGTCTGCTACAGGATGCGCGCAGCCGCGGTACGTAGAAAAGAAGCTTCAAAAACAGCACTTTGCTGAGCAAGGAATCGCCTCTAAGAGTTCTCGCTATCCTAGTCACGATGACTGTCGACGACGCTGGCCGCAACAGTGGCAAACATGGAGGCAACGATGACAACGACAACGGCGATGATCATGACAACACTGTACCAGCGCTACCAACATGAATACAAGCATGGCCGCAAACAAAACACTGCCACCAGCCCCCGCTACTGCCAGCTCCCCAGCCCCCATCACCAACCGAGCAGCGCCACAATTCCTCAGAATGATGCTGCTCTTGATGTACTGGCAGTGGCTGAGGATATCGCCCAGATGGGAGGTCGTCCAGTCAGGAGCTGATAAACGAGACACCTGGCTCTAGCGAGCTTCAATGTTCGAAGCTCAGGTCTTGCGCTTCTACATTAACAATGGCAAAACACTTTGTCTCTGAGGACCGCGCCCCAATGCCCAAGCATCTGAAGCTAGGGAAGGCATGGCCCCACGCACCACCTGAACAAATTGCTCGGTATCCCACGAAACCAGCCCTTTGACGGTCGGTGTAAGCATGCCATGAGGATACGGCTGTTGTTCGGGCTTTGGGATGTAGACCCGAGCTTTGGATTTTCAGATGGGCGAGGTTGTGAGGTTCGCTGCAACTCCGCTCCAGAATAGGAAGCTGCCAGTGAAGATCTGCTGCGACACATTCAAACAAATTGACATGGATTGAGGTACAGGAACGCTGCCTGCATCGTGGACACTGGGCTTCCGTTTACAGGTCACAATCCCTGCTGCCAGCAGTCTGGGATGTCAATCGGTCATTTCAAGCAATCAGGACATCTTGGGAAACCTGGTTTCAGGGGTCCACTTATGTTGGAGATGCGTGAGAGCCTTCATTGTAGAAGCGAACGCTTGCAACACTCCTTCCCTCCATCGACTCATTGTCTGGGGAGTAAGTGTCTGACGTGTGCTGAGAAATCCCAATGTTGAGCATCACTCACGCAGCCCACCTCTGGGGGAAGATAGAGCATTGTGCCCTCGACGCGGTTATCTTCGGCAATGAGCTCCTCGTCGCACCTGCCACAATGTAAGCGCTACATCAACTGGTCTAGGTATTGCTCCAAAATGTACGTAGATAAGTCAGAATCGTACCACGCAAATAGGCACTGGGCCCCAACCCACACATTCCGATACCCTTGGCCAGGAGCGGCAAATATCAGCTAATGTCGAGCTAGCATTAATAAAGGGGGTGACAAGAATATTCCCGCCGGGCCAGTAAAAGTCCGGAAGACTACTTTTGCTTTCCAACAGATTCGGAGCCCGAACACCTACAAACAAGTTCGACAGGCCAGGGAATCTTTATTGAACATTACCTCAAAAAACGCTCTGATAAACAACAGATTGGAAAACCCATTAACTGGACAACCCGTATGTCATGTACACCTAATCATGCCACGAACCCATCATGTCAGGAACCCATAGAGGCAGCATAACCTAGATTTCCAGGTGACAAGTTGTCAGGCGCCCCTACATAGGCATTGCATACGCCTCTGCAGGAGAACGTAAGAACAACATTGCCTGCTGAAAATTCCTTAGAGCATTAGGCTCAACGCTAACCCTAGCCTTCAACCCTAAAACCCCAGCCTCGATGAAACTCTAAACCCTATGGCTGAGGGCAAAGCTCCGCTCCCGAGGATTCAGGGGCATCCTGCCCGACATGCGGAACGGCACGTGCCAAGGATGCGGATCCGTGGAAAGTTTGACGCTTTTGGGGTTTGGGGAGTCTAGAGGTTTGGGTTTGACGGCATAGGAGCTGGGGTTTGACTGGTGCTAGGAGTAGTGGCAGCATGAGCAGTTGCGGAGTTTGTGGAGGCAGGCAGCTGCGGCTATGCATTGCAGTGAACTCATGGTTTCAGGGGCTGAAGCGCGGCCTGCGCCTGCCAGTCTCCGTCCCGCAGCCGCTTCAGCAAAGCCTGCCGACAACGGATCGCTGCCTGGCGCCAGCTTTATCTAGGAATCTTCTAGGGTATATGCAGGAAAATGTACACGGAAAACCAACTTCAGGGCCTTCAGGCTGCGGTACGGAGAAGAACAGGATAGTAGTACAGGCTGTGGTGACTCAATTTCATAGTTGGAGGGGGGGCTTCTGGCTTCTGGCTTGCGGGCGTTTAAACTGTCTCGTCTTGGCTCTCGTCGATTTTTGCTTCCACATATGTCCCTGCATAAACTCAAAATATA